AAAAGATAAGTATATCTATTTGTGCAAATTTGATTGGTTTTCTTTTACATGTGAAATGTGTTTTACACATGACTATTTCTACATCTTTTCGTGTTTTTACTTGTTATGATCATTGTTTCTATTATTTTCAATTCCGGATACTCTCATTAACCAATTGTTTGCTTTTCATTTTTCGTTATTGTTTTCTTGTTTTACACAACCTATAATTGCATAACATTTCTTTGATTATCTGTGTTTTGTTTGGTTTTCTATTAGATAAATTATGTTTTATTTCCTTTTTTTGGGTTACTGCTACTGCTAATGCTGTTGCCTGTAGTCCTGTTTTGCTGCAGTTTTTCACTGTTCATGTGCTCTATTCAGCTGTTTTGTTCGGTTGCTGCTCAGCTTTTCTTCTTCTGCTCAGCTGGTCTTTCATCAGGGGCACTGTTCACGTGAACACCTGGGCTGCTGCTGCGGATGGGCTCTTCCAGCTGATCCTTACTGGTTTTTTTGCTGAATCTTAGATGGTCTTTAGCTGGGATTTTAGCTGGTCTTCTGATGGTCTCTCAGCTGCCATGTCAGCTGGTTTCAGCTGGAATTTATTATTCTTTTTGTGTCTGCTGCTGAATCATGTTCTGATGACATTTTCGGGCATTCTTTTTTGCTTGTTGCTACTTGTTTCCTGCTTTCCTACACTGTTCACGTGACTGTACACGTGAACAGTCCAGTTGCTACCATGCTGATTTTTCTGCTCTTTCAGCCAGATTATCAGCTGGTCTTTTTGTGCCTTTGCGCCTTTCAGCTGGCCATTATGCTCTTTTGGGTAGGCATTGATGGAGGCCTCTTCATTTCTTTTCAGCTGGTCTTCAGCTGGATTTTCAGCCTGTTCCATCTCCTTCTGCTCCATTCAGCTGCTGGTGTTTATGGTTTCTGCTTGGTGCTTTTGGCTGCAACGGTTGCATTATTCAGCTGGTCCTCCTGCACATATCTTTTTTTGTTAAAGCTTTTGCTTCTTGTAATCGTGGCATTTATTAATAATATTTCTTTTTAAAAAAAAAAGGGAGTAGGATTTGGGATTAGGGATTAGAACTTTAGAGATTAGCGATTACGGATTAGGTGTTAGGGGTTAGGGATTTTGGTTTATTGTTCTTTTGCTCCACCTCCTCATCATTCTTATCTTATTTTTTTCTTTTATAATTTTTGTTATATTTTGGATTTTCATTTTTATGTGCATAACTAATCTAATGTATATTTTGATTTTAGTTAGTGAAACAGATGAGATAATCTTGAAAGCGGAGTTTAGGAGCAAAAAGATAAGTATATCTATTTGTGCAAATTTGATTGACTTTCTTTTACATTTGAAATGTATTTTACAAATGACTATTTCTACATCTTCTTGTGTTTCTTACTTGTTATGATCATTGTTTCTATTATTTTCAATTTCGGACACTCTCATAAACCCATTGTTTGTTTTTCATTTTTTGTTATTGTTTTCATGTTTTGCACAACCTATAATTGCATAACATTTCTTTGATTATTTGTGCTTTGTTTGCATTTCTATTAGATAAATTTTGTTTTATTTCTATTTTTTGGGTTTTTAGTTTATAGTTAGGGGTTGGGGATTAGGACTTAGGGAGTATGATTTAGAATTAGGGATTAGGGATTAGGGATTAGAGATTAGTGATTAAGAATTAATACTTTAGAGGTTAGGGATTACGGATTACGGATTATGGGCTAGAGGTTAGGGATTTGGATTTATTGTTCTTTTTCTTCTTTTGTTCCACTCCTCATCATTCTTATCCTATTTTTTTCTTTTTATTATTTTTGTTATGTTTTGGATTTTTATTTTTATGTGCGTAACTAATCTAATGTGTATTTTGATTTCAATTGTTAGTGGAATAGACGAGATAAGCTTAAAAGCGGAGGTTAGGAGCGAAAAGATAAATATATCTATTTGTGCAAATTTCATTGACTTTCTTTTACATGTGAAATGTGTTTTATAAATGACTATTTTTACATTTTTTTTGTGTTTCTTTCTTGTTATGATCATTGTTTCTATTATTTTCAATTCACATCACCCTCATTATCTCACTATAATTGCATAGCATTTCTTTGATTATATGTGGTTTGTTTGCTTTTCTATTTGACTAATTATGTTTTATTTCAATTTTTTGGCTTGTCGGTTTTTAGTTAGGAGTTGAAAATTTGGGCTTTGGGAGTAGGGATTTGAGATTAGGGATTAAGGATTAGGGCTTTAGAAATTAGGGATTAGAGATTAGGGATTTGGGGTTAGGGATTAGGGATTTTGGTTTATTGTTCTTTTGCTTCTTTTGCTCCACCTCCTCATCATTCTTATCCTATTTTTTACTTTTATTGTCTTTGCTATGTTTTGGATTTTTATTTTTATGTGCGTAACTAATCTAATGTGTACTTTGATTTCAGTTGTTAGCGAAATGGACGAGATAAGTTTGAAAGCGGAGTTTAGGAGCGAAAAGATAAGTATATATATTTGTGCAAATTTGATTGGCTTTCTTTTACATGTGAAATGTATTTTACACATAACTATTTTTACATCCTCTTGTGTTTCTTGTTATGATCATTGTTTTTATTATTTTCAATTTCGAACACTCTCATTAACCCACTATTTGCTGTTCATTTTTTGTTATTGTTTTCATATTTTGAACAACCTATAATTGCATGACATTTCTTTGATTATTTGTGCTTTGTTTGCTTTTCTATTAGATAAATTATGTTTTATTTACGTTTTTTTTTGTGGTTGGTTTATAGTTAGGGGTTGAGGATTAGGGCTTAGGGAGTAGGATTTGGGATTAGGGATTCGAGATTAGGCATTAGGGATTAGGAATTAGGACTTTAGAGATTAGGGATTAGGGATTACAGATTAGGGGTTAGGGATTTGAATTTATTGTTCTTTTACTTCTTTTGCTCCACCTCTTCATCATTCTTATCCTTTTTATTTTATTTTATTGTTTTTGTTATGTTTTGGATTTTCATTTTTATGTGTGTAACTAATCTAATTTGGATTTTTTATTTCAGTTGTTAATGGAATGTACGAGATAAGCTTGAAAAGGGAGTTTAGGAGCAACAAGATAAGTATATCTATTTGTGCAAATTTGATTGACTTTCTTTTACATGTGAAATGTGTTTTACAAATGACTATTTCTACATCTTCTTGTGTTTCTTACTTGTTATGATCATTGTTTCTATTATTTTCAATTCACATCACCCTCATTATCTCACTATAATTGCATAGCATTTCTTTGATTATATGTGGTTTGTTTGCTTTTCTATTTGACTAATTATGTTTTATTTCAATTTTTTGGCTTGTCGGTTTTTAGTTAGGAGTTGAAAATTTGGGCTTTGGGAGTAGGGATTTGAGATTAGGGATTAAGGATTAGGGCTTTAGAAATTAGGGATTAGAGATTAGGGATTTGGGGTTAGGGATTAGGGATTTTGGTTTATTGTTCTTTTGCTTCTTTTGCTCCACCTCCTCATCATTCTTATCCTATTTTTTACTTTTATTGTCTTTGCTATGTTTTGGATTTTTATTTTTATGTGCGTAACTAATCTAATGTGTACTTTGATTTCAGTTGTTAGCGAAATGGACGAGATAAGTTTGAAAGCGGAGTTTAGGAGCGAAAAGATAAGTATATCTATTTGTGCAAATTTGATTGGCTTTCTTTTACATGTGAAATGTATTTTACACATAACTATTTCAATATCCTCTTGTGTTTCTTACTTGTTATGGTCATTGTATCTATTATTTTCAATTTCGAACACTTTCATAAACCCACTATTTGCTTTTCATTTTTCGTTATTGTTATCACGTTTTGCACAACCTATAATTGCCTAGCATTTCCTTGATTATCTGTGTTTTGTTTGCTTTTGTATTAGATTAATTATGTTTTATTTCTTTTTTTTGGCTTGTCGATTTATAGTTAGAGGTTGAGAATTAGGACTTATGGTGTAGGGACTTGAGATTAGGGATTAGACATTAGAGATTAGGGCTTTAGAGATTAGGGATTAGAGAATATGGATTATGGATTACGGCTTAGGGGGGTTTGGGATTTGGGATTTGGGTTTATTGTTCTTTTGCTTCTTTTGCTCCACTTCCTCATCATTCTTATCCTATTTTTTTCTTTTATAGTTTTTGTTATGTTTTGGATTTTCATTTTTATGTGCGTAACTAATCTAATGTGTATTTTGATTTCAGTTGGTTGTAGAATGGACGAGATAAGTTTGAACGTGGAGTTTAGGAGCGAAAAGATAAGTATATCTATTTAGACAAATTAGATTGACTTTCTCTTACGTGTGAAATGTGTTTTACAAATGACTATTTTTACATTTTCTTCTGTTTCTTATTTGTTATGATCATTGTTTATATTATTTTCAATTCTCAACACTCTCATTATCTCACTATAATTGCATTGCATTTCTTTGATTATATGTGCTTTGTTTGCTTGTTTATTAGATTAATTATGGTTTATTTCAATTTTTTGGCTTGTCGATTTATAGTTAGTGGTTTGGAATTTGGGCTTAGGGAGTAGGGATTTGAGATTAGGGATTAAGGATTAGGGCTTTAGAAATTAGGGATTAGGAATTTGGGATTTGGGGTTAGGGATTAGGGATTAGGGATTTGGATTTATTATTCTTTAACTTCTTTTGCTCCACTTCCTCATCTTTCTTATCCTATTTTTTACTTTTATTGTCTTTGTTATGTTTTGAATTTTTATTTTTGTGTGGGTAACTATTCTAATGTGTACTTTGATTTCAGTTGTTAGTGGAATGGACGAGATAAGGTTGAAAGCGGAGTTTAGGAGCGAAAAGATAAGTATAACTATTTCTGCAAATTTGATTGGTTTTCTTTTACATGTGAAATGCATTTTACACATAACGATTTCTACATCCTCTTGTGTTTCTTACTTGTTATGATTATTGTTTATGGTATTTTCAATTTCGGATACTCTCATTAACTTACTATTTGCTTTTCATTTTTCATTTTTCATTATTGTTTTCATTTTTTGCACAACCTATAATTGCATGAGATTTCTTTAATTATTTGTGCTTTGTTTGTTTTTCTATTAGATAAATTATGTTTTATTTTTATTTTTTGGGTTTTTGGTTTATTGTTAGTGGTTGGGGATTAGGGCTTAGGGAATAGAATTTATGATTAAGGATTAGGGATTATAGATTAGAGATTTGAAATTATGACTTTAGAGATTAGGGATTAGGGATTACGGATTACGGATTACGGATTAGGGGTTAGGGGTTAGAGATTTAAATTTGTTGTTCTTTTTCTTCTTTTGCTCCACCTCCTTATCATTCTTATCGTATTTTTTCCTTTTTATTGATTTTGTTGTGTTTTGAATTTTCATTTTTATGTGCGTTACTAATCTAATGTGTATTTTGATTTCAATTGTTAGTGAAATGGACGAGAT